ATTCTTGTGTGCAGCTTCACAAGCAACAGTGGTGTGCACAATCTAGGAAATATAAAAAACAAAATCTACGAATAATAAATATGAGAAACATAAGCATAAATATATGTACAAATATGAGAATGTGTGCACATTACTAAATATTCATACCAAATATATATACATACATATGTATATACATGTGTATGCGTGTATATACATATGTATAACATATGCAGAAGTCAGCAGATGAATATTTTGCAATATGGAGTTCATAAGTGTCAAAGTTTCGATAAGTGAAAGTGAAGTGTCTATGAAGTGTTAGTGGTCAGTGTTCAGCAGTCTGGTGGCCTGATGGAAAAAGCTGTCTCTCAGTCTGCCAGTTCATGACCGGATACTGCAAAACCTCTTGCCTGATGGAAGTAGTTTGAACAGTTTATGGCTGGAGTGACTGGAGTCCTTGATGATCCTCCCTGCTTTGGTCAGGCACTGCTTCTTATAGATGTCCCAGAGGGAGGGAAGCTCGCCTCCAATTATCCTTTCAGGACATCGCACCACTCTGTGGAGAGCTTTGAGGTTGTAGGTAGTGCTGTTGCCATATCAAGAAGTGATGCATCTAGTGAGGATGCTCTCAATGGTACAACAGTAGAAGGTTTTGAGGATGCTGGGGCTCACTTTTCAATTACTTTGCAATGATGTTGGAGTTGCTAGTGGCCATGCAGTTGTAGGTGTAGAGTGAGTACAGGAGAGGGTTCAGTACACACCCCAGTGGAGCACCAGCGTTCATTATGACAGGTGATGAGGTGATACTGCCAAGTCTGACTACTTGGTGTCTGTCAGGCAGGAAGTTAAGGATCCAGCTGCAGAGAGAGCTGCTCAGTCCTAGATCCTGCAGTTTCCATTGAGGAAAGAATGGTATCGAACGCTGAGCTGTAATCTACAAACAACATTCTCACAAATGTGTCTCTCCTCTCCAGGTGCAAGAGGGCAGTACTTAGTGTCAGGGCTACGGCGTCATCAGTGGACCTGTTGTGGTGGTATGCAAACTGGTCCAGTGATTTGGGTAGTGCAGAGCAGATGAAGTTCCTGACCAGCCTCTCAAAGCATGGGTACAGGGACGATGGTGGCCATTTTGAAGCAGGCTGGGATCACAGACAGAGAGAGGGAGCGGTAGATATTTGTGAACACTCCAGCCAGCTGAGCCACGCATAACTTGAGGACACGACCGACAATCCCGTCAGGACCAGTGCGTTCCCCTGTCTGAAGCACTTCTGCACATCCTCCTCAGACACCAAAGTATGTATAGTTTGGAGACAGTGGAAATGAAAAAGAAACAGGAGGTCGAGCTGAAGATAGACAGAAAGATAATTAAATCAGAGGGACATCTGTAACCACATAATTTCTTTAGGGATTAATAAAGTATTCTGATTCGGATTCTGATTCTGAGAGAGGCAAGGCTGAGAAGATTTAGACTTGTGTAGGGAAGGAAGAATAGATATACTAGGCAAAAGATGTTGAAGATGGAGCTGCCAGGCAAGAGGAAAAGAGGAAGGATCCTAAGAAGGCAGCAGATCTGCTGCAGCGGACCCTGTAGAGAGCAGTACGTTTTCCTAACTGTACTTGTTACGTAAAAGTACATGCGGAAAATTAAAGTCGAAAGTAGAAGAACCACGCAGTTCATGTAGTAGTTTCAGTTTCAAACAAGTTTTTTATTGATGTAATTATTTTTTTAATGTGTTATTTATTTATTTATTTATTTATTTATTTATTTATTTAGATAATGTTTAAAACGCCTGGATGAGGTGCCTGCTGAGTGCCGATACTAGCTTTACTTTTGCTAAAACAACGATCGGACTAAACATATTTTTTTGAAACGTTTATTAAAATTATGACGGACAAAGTTCACGGAACGACTTTCCACAGGGCTTTGCTCCGGCATTACGGTTAGCGTACCGGTCCATCAACACTTCCGGTCCGACCTTTTTCTCCCTCCGCCCCGGTGCCTTTTCACTTTGCGGCCCACGTGCGGCGTTAATTCGTGTTTTTAGCTTAAAAAAATCAAGTAAAAGTTTGGACCAAATGGCATCGTCTATCGAGCAGATGAGGGCGAACGTGGGGAAGCTTCTCAGAGGAATCGACAGGTACAAAGAACAACAGCGGACCGAGCTAACAGCTTAGCCTGGTTGCTAATATCGCAAGCTAACGTTTGGTGCAGTGAGTCAGTGGTGGCTAGCCCATACAGGGTAGCTTGATGCTTCATTAAACGAGTTTTATTGTTGGTTAATTACACCAACATTGTATTAATGAAATGATAAGTCAGAGTTAACAAATATTGGATAAAATATGTTTAATGTTCGTGTTGGATTTATACAGCTGCTAGCATTAGCCGGGTTTGCTTCATTGAACTGTAGACAATTTGTATTGGTCATAAAGTGAGAAACCCTGGCTTCTGTGGTCTATTGTTGTTTACTGATTTTCATTAGATGGACATTAACGGTTCATTCAGGTTAAAAGCGGTGATCAAAGATATTTCACAAAGGAAGTCATTTACTGCATGGATAGGATTGTTTTCATCAGCCCAGGGTTCATTTTCTGCTTTCACACAGAAAATTAACCATTTACGCAGCTGTTGTCACCTGAGGCTCAACTGGTGGACCATTCAACCGTCTCTGATTTGAAATGATCACTAATTTGTAATCATAATACCTTACTAACCCAAGAAAATTGCTTTGTTATAGAGCAGGGGTCCCCAATCCCTTCTCTATAACACGGGGCCCGGTGTCCCTGCAGGTTTTAGATCTCACCCTGGGTCAACACACCTGAATCACATGATTAGTTAATTACCAGGCCTCTGGAGAACTTCAAAACATGTTGAGGAGGTCATTTATCCATTTAAATCAGCTGTGATGGATCAAGGACACATCTAAAACCTGCAGGGACACCGGCCCTCGTGGACTGGGATTGGGGACCCCTGTTATAGAGGCTCAGTTAAGATATAAATGTGAAAGACAGGAAATTGTAAACGCTATATTTAAAAAAAAAAACAAGGGAAAAGTAAGGTGCAAATAGGATATGGTGATTTAAGAAAGCTCAGATGTCATAAGGAGGAGTTGTAAAGTTTGTTGGCCACAGGTGGGAATGATTTCTCATGGTGTTCTGTGCTGGATTATCATTTGCTAAATGTGCTCCTGTTGCTTTCCAGTTTGAACGGAGGACCTGCGAATATTTGTCCAGTAGTGTCTAAATTTCGCTAGCCACGCTGTCTGGCATACAGTGCTGCAGACACACACTCTGTGGTTTCAACTATCCAGGGAAGCATGCAGCTGAGCCCAGTTAGTTTGATATAAAATACGGTTGGTTTGATGGTTTTAAAGGCACTGAAAAAGTTAAAAAAAAAACTCTCACAATGCTCGCTAGCTTTGTAGACCTGGTTGAGCAGGTAGAAACTGGCGTCCTCATCTGGGCTGGTAGATAAACTGCAGAGGGATCCATCAGTGGGCTGATCACGTGCCGGGGCTGGTCTAGGATTAATATCTCCAGAGTATTCATAATACACAATATCAGGGCCACTGGGATGGCATGACCTCTTCCACAGCATGGGAACCCAATGTAGAATCAGGGTTATCCTGAAGATGTAGTGCAACTCTCGACAAACATATTTTAAGCTTATAAGCACATAAATGAAAAAAAAAAAGCACTGAAACATTTGCTTTTATTTATGGATAAGAATCTCATCTCCCCTCACAGGTACAACCCAGAAAACCTTGCAACGCTGGAGCGCTACGTGGAGACGCAAGCGAGAGAAAATGCCTACGACCTGGAAGCAAACCTTGCTGTGCTCAAGCTGTAAGTTACATAAGTTACCCAAACAGCAGCTATTCAACTTTAAGACACTGGATTTTTTAAAAATATAAATAAAGGGAAAAAATTTAATGATAGATTAAAAAAAATAGGTGGAGGAAGTTTTATCCAATAGGGGAGTCAAGCCCTGACTATGGCATGATTCTGATCATAAAACAAAGGCAGCTCAGTCTCTGCCAGCCTGCCTCTACTGCTGGATGACGGCTCCAGGAAGCAGCAGACTTGCCTTCGATAGCAAAGAAAGCGACTTTTACACACTGCTAAAAATATTACCGACTCTAAATAATTTGGAGACAGAGCTCTTAGGAATATACCAGAATGGTCTTTATTTGATTTACCTGTTGGATACCTTGATGTTTGAGTGGTGATGACTCTAATCTTGACATCTGTGCAGGTACCAGTTTAATCCAGCATACTTCCAGACTCAAGTGACCTCACAGATTCTGCTGAAGGCGCTGACCAACCTGCCACACACCGACTTCACACTCTGCAAGTGCATGATCGACCAGACACACGTATCCTTTTGGTGCTTTCTCTCTGAGCGTTGCATTCTGGGAGATTTATATGTGACAGGTTCTCTGAATGTGTGTGTGTGTATGTGTGCAGACTGGAGTTATGGAAACTTTAAGAAGTTGATTAGAAGTTCATGCTTCTGTCCCACTTTGGACAGACATGTTTTTTTTGCGGAGTATGAATATTAATCCTTTTACTCTGCTGCAGTAGAAATGTCTCCATTGTGCCTAATGGAGGTCCACCTCCAATGTAATCCTCAGTGAATTGAGCTAACCAGCTAAAATAATTATTTCCCCCCAGTCTAGACGAAGTTGAAATAGTATTAATATGTTGTCTGAAATCTGAAAATCAGAATTTTCTGTAGGTGTTAAATGTTTGTTGTTATAAATTACTGGAAGAAAAAAATATCTGTGCCAAAAAGATTAAAAGCACTATGAGTTATTATTTATTTTAGGATGCAAAGAAGGCTCTGTGTTGGGGTCAGGGGGGGCATTTCCTTGACTACTGTGTCGCAGCAGGAGGAGCGGCCCATCAGACAGATCCTCTATCTGGGGAACCTGCTGGAGACGTGCCACTTCCAGAGCTTCTGGGTACGAAACTCACACTAAACCACATGCACAGAAATCTCTGCATCCATGTAAGAGAAACACAATAAAACCTCAACAGGGCCATCAGCTGAAGGGCTGGTCTGAGGACACGTGGTTTCCAGAAACTATTAGTATGGCCTTTTTTCTCAAGCAACAAAGTAGCTCGTAGAATTCAGCTTCTCCTTTCACAGCAGGAGCAGCAGAGTTCAAAGGGCAAGTCAAAGTGGTTGGTCCAGACGCTAGCGTGCGTTGATTGGTTGACCATAGAGTTTTTAAGAAATGGAATGAAAAATGTGGACAGTTTGAGCCACACATCAAAACTTGTGTCCCGTCCTCCTGCTTCTACTTAAAATTGACATTAATCACCAAAACGGAGCTCCGACCTGCCCGAGTCGTCGGTGCTCATCTTTCCCTCAAACCTCGCCTGCTGCTGTTCCCTTCGTTTTAGTGTGAACTGAATGAATTGTGTCCTAATCTTTCTTAAATAGTTTGTTTTGGGCCCGACTTGCTCTTTGAATGAAGTATTCTGCTTCTATTTGTCAAAATGCTTTTGAAGCACATTTAAAACAATTTTTATTATCATTTTAATCCTAATTGCCTTTCAGGACATTCCTGATTTCTGTGTTGCGATTTTTCTGGTTTTCTCATGCTGATGTTTGTTTCCTCTCCTCTCTGTCCCGTCCCGGACAGACGAGTCTAGAGGAGAACAGAGAGCTCATCGATGGCATTACTGGTTTTGAGGACTCTGTGCGCAAGTGTGAGTATCATCCTCTGACTCAGCACGTTGGGCAGCATGCCACTACACTGAACACAAACAGCTGGTTTAATTGAACAACCTGTGGAAAATGTCCAGGACAGACACGCCCACACAGCGCAGTGATGCAAATTCTGAGAATAAACCACACGAAACTGTTTGAACATGATAAAAACTCGAATGTTTTCTGTTTAGTTATCTGCCATGTTGTGGGCATCACCTACCAGACCATCGATCGCCGCTTACTGGCCGAGATGCTCGGAGACCCGCTGGGTAAGACCTTTGACACACACGTGCAAAAACCTGGCAGACGGCTCATATAAGTTGTTTTGACTGTGTGACACGTAACGACGCGCATTTAACCCTTTAAAACCGGTC